CACCTAGCACCACTACCACGGCTGCACCCGGCACTACGACCAATACGCCTGCTACCACGACGGCTGCTCCTGTGACTACTCCCGATGCACCCAGCACCACCATGGCTGCACCCGGCACTACGACCAATACGCCAGCTACCACGATGGCTGCTCCATTAACTACGACAGATGCACCCAGCACCACCACGGCTGCACCTAGCACCACCACGGCTGCACTTAGCATCACCACGGCTGCACCTAGCATCACCACGGCTGCACCTAGCACGACTACATCAGCTCCAGGCACCACAACGAATGCGCATGCTAGCACGACGGCTACTCCTACGACTACCACGGATGCACCTCGCACCACCACAACTGAGCCCAGCACCACCACCAACACGCCTGTTGTCACCACAGCTGCACCTAGCTCCACCACAACTGAGCCCAGCACCACAACGGCGGTTCCAGGCACTACGACCAACGCTGCGTACACCACCACTAAGGCTCCTTGTACAACGACTGTGAAGCCTTGCACGACTAAGTTCAGGACACGTCCGTCGACGACGAAATTTTTGCGCACAACCAATTCTCCGTCCGTCACTGGTTCCTAAATCGTGTGTTAGATGTTGTGATTAATTCATACATTTTTTCGTTGAAAACTGGCAGGTTTGGTTGCTGCAGCTGCATAAACTGAAATCGTTCTAACAACCACGATCGTTGTGTGTGTCAGTCATCACGCCGGCTACGAAAGCCATGTCGATGATTACCCGTGTGCTCTTTGCACAACTACTACTGTTCCAATCTGTACAACGTGTATACGTCGACAAATGGATCCCAAATTACGGAGGACGTGGAATGGTCCACAATACACTGAGTCATCCTCACAATCTAGTATACAAATATATCCGGTTATATTGTCGTTTTGATGAAAATTTGGACTTTGAGGCCGGTTTGCAAAAGTCGGACAAATCGGCAGCAGGCTCAAACGTATAACGATTTACTATACCATAGTTTCTCGAAGTCATTTTTGAAAACCTGCATCACCGAGATCGATGTTCCCCCTCAACTGCGTCGCCGCGGAGCATGCGTCCAAGAACACGATTGCCCACGCACTGTATGCTTACTACCACATTGGCATGAAGAAGTCCGACATTGCTCATGTCTTCCACAAGTCGCCGTCGACGATCGCGAACTGGATTGTCCGCTTTGAGTCGCGAGGGCATCTCGACCGCAAGGACAACAAGAATGCGTCGACGTTTACGCAACATCATCGCTCCTGGATCGTTGCCTTCTTCGAACACCAACCAATGTCGTTCCTGGACGAAGCGAAACGGGCTTTTGAGGTTCAGTTCAAACGCCCCATCTCGATCTCGACGGTTTGGTCCATCATTCACCGTCATGGAATGACGTGGAAAGTGCTTGAGCGTCGAGCCATGCACATCAAGGAGAAGGACATCCATCGCTTCTTCGAGGAGCTGAGTCTCTTGGACTGGACGCACTCCAACATTCAGTTCCTCGACGAGGTGAGCTTTGACTCCAAGGGAATGCTTCGAAAGAAGGGATACGCCATGAAGGGCCAGAAGCTTTGCTTCCGTGGTGAATTCGTGCGACGTCCGCGAATCTCCCTCCTCTGCTTCATCGACGTCAACGGAGTTTCCAATGTGTTCGAAACGGTTGGCACCTTCGATCGAGCCAAGTTTGTGGAATGTTGCTGGACCCAAGCAACGGCTGGTGCCATCTCGCCTTACCCTGGACGTGGATCCATCTGGATTATGGATGGCGCCAGCATCCATTGCCACCCTGACATCCCAAATCTGTTGCGATCCGTGGGAATTGTGCCGCTCTACCTGCCCTCATATTGCGCGTTTTTCAACCCCATCGAGTATCTCTTTGGGTACGTGAAGAAAGCATTTCGGCGCCATTACCGCGAAAACCACACCAACGACCTGCTCTTGTTTGTCATGAGCCTGTTGCAGTCGTTCAAGCGTTTCGACTTGTCACATGTCTACCGTCACTGTGGCTATGGTTTGCCGGGACATTTCGACCCGTCAACGCGTCTGACCGACCACGCCATGCCTTGTGCACCATCTTCGACTGAGATGGATGACCTGCTTGATTTCATGGAGTGCCGTGATGACGATAACGAATAAACACGAGTTAGATGAATTGATTTGACGATTTCACTTCTCATCTACGTGTCACTGTGATCGACATCCTGAGCATTCGGAATGGCAGCAATTGCCGCCACTACTTCTGCATGCTGGGCAGCTTGTTGCATCTGGTGCATGAAACCTTGGATGACACGACGCTTCCCATTCATGAATTCAATTGAACGCTTGACACGCTCGCTCGCGTCTTCAGTGTATCGCAGCACCGCTTGAAGTTCTTCAACGCAGGAGTCGACAACGTCGAGTGACATTGTGGCATTCTGCTCCAAGTTCGCCATTTGTCTTTGAGGTCCGTTTGGAACAGACGAAAACAGGTGCAGCATGTTTGACGGCGGAGGCAGGTCAATCGATATG